AGCCCCCATGGATCTGCTCCTTGAGAAGCTCACACTGGGGCCTAGAAGTCTCCACTGACTTGGTCTGTGATACCCCTTTATTCAAGCCTGTGGTGAGAGAAGAATTCTGCATGCTGGATGAGATTCTTTCCACGTTCAAATCTAAATTTCCTTGCCTGTTCGAATGCCTTCTTGCTTGAGTAAAATAGAAGGACCCAACACGCAAAGTTTTGACTGTGTATAATTTGATTACATGAGCCTCCACACAATATACTTCTCAGTTTCCACTTTAATGGGAGAATTTCCATCAAAGGAACACACTCTGAGATTGTCTTAACATCATGTTTTGCTTAGAGCCCTGTTGGAGGGGACACCACCTCTTTGTGAAATATTCCTTTTCCCTGACATTTTACATGTCTTGTTCACTAAGTGCTTAACTTTGCTTGATTTAGTGTTTCTTAGGACATCAAATGGGAGCTTAAGGTAATCTGAAACTTAGTTCAGGAATGACAAAGAACTTATTAAAGTTTATAATTGCAGAAAAATTAATCAAAGAGACTAGCATGAGCCAAGCACTTGTCATAGTGAAATACGGAATAACTTCATTGAAATAAATCTTAATTATACTTAAGTCACTGCACAGTGTGACTTAATTAAAAATAGAGCAGTGAGAGCATTCTGGGGAAAAAAAGAACAGTGATTATACAACTATTTCATTTCATATTCCTTCTTTCCCCATTCCTTCTTTTCCTTCCCCTGGGAAAAAAAAATTAAAACTAAAGTTTCACAAGTAAATTCAGATATGTCTTAACATATGTTAGGTAACATTCTAAGTCTGAAACAAAAAGCTAAGAATGATAACCCTGAAGATAATCTATTTAAATAAAAGCAGTTCAAAATTATACATGCAAGGTGTCATGCATCCATACCTATTGTGTCCATAAACAGTATGGTGCTTTGCTAGATTATAGCTTTATGAAATATCAAGTACAAGACTGCAGGGGGGATTAATTGAAGTTAAAATAGACAATATGGGAAAGTTTAATGGAGACGTTACCAAAGGAAAAGTAGCTTCTCTGCAGCCTCCTGAATGCAGCATGCAACAATGGCTTTATAATATAGTCAGATAGATAAAATGCTCAACAAGCATACCAAAAATATAAGAGGTTCATTTGTCAAGACTTCAGTTCTTGATAGATAGAAAACATGCAGAGCCAGATATATCATGGCAATAAATATGTTGATTTCAACAGAGTTATCTCAGCTATGAATTTGAAGCAACACATTTTGAGAGAATGAAACCAAACCAAGTAGAAAAATGTACACAGGGTTTTTGCTGGTTTATGGAGACCGCATATAAAAATAGGCATTAAAACCATATCCCAGATGAATCCTGGTAGCTGGTTAAAAAAAAAAGTAGGAAAAAAAAAAGAAAAAAGAAAAAAAAAAAGAAAAATGCACCATATGTGAAGGTGTCAAATTAGTTTGTGTGGGCTGTGTCCTGTCTTCACAGATGCTTATGTAGCTCTACTTGAGCTGAACAGGTGTCATGTGGCCACAAAAGAGGGCAGAATGTATTAAGAAAGACCGAAAGCAAAATAAGTGAACAAAAGGAAAAAAAAGAAAAATATGAGCCCTCCCCCAACACACACTATCCAAAAGAGTCCATTGAGAACTAGAAAACTGGAAAAATAGTATTTTTCAGCTTGAAATAAAACTTTCATTAATCCACAGAGGTGAACATATCTGCAAATGTGACAATTGCAACAGACTTTCTCGTTTCTGGAAAACAGTTCATAAGTAAAATAATAAATTGGTATCTATGGAAGTTAGTTTTCTGCTCCACATTGCATTTTGACATAGAAATTTAAAAGTGCTAGTTCCAGTGTATAATCAATTTTTCCTGCGTCTGGTATGTGCAAGTATTTGTGTGTATGTCTGATGTTTATAGAGAAGCTGTTTTAACATCTCATCATACTCTAGCTCATTTCAATGTACCATACCAGCAGAATCACCTTTTGTGGACCCATCTTCAATAATATCATCTTCTGATTTCTTAGCTCATCGTTCCCTACTAAGGGAACGCTGGTGCCATTTTTTAGGAGAACTGTTCTGCATAAAAGCCAAGCAAAAATTGATCTGAGTTAAACTGGGAAATTGCCCCAGATGCTTGGGAGGTGAATTGGTAAAGTTTTTTCTTTTCTCTTTCACTTGGTACTTGGACATTGTCAGTAGGATTAAATTAACCAAATGGAGATTAATCTGCAATGCAAGTCTGTGTCTGAGATAATTGCCCTGAGCCCCGTTTATCACCAATGCACAGAAATAGGCACTTTTAAGGTACATTTAATCCTAATGCAGACTTGTAAAATGGGTCAGATGAATCTCATGCTAGAAGTGCCTTTTCCTCTCCTACGGCCATAAAAGAAGCTCAGATATAAATACCTACATTGTCAATGTCTAAAGTTAGATGAGATGAATCACAGTTTTGATGACTTTGGAAAATGCTACTTTCTTCAATACAATGTCTGCGAGAGATCCCTGGGATACATCTGGGCACTACAAGAGGACACAAGCAGCTTTCACTGAGAGACAGAGTGGGTGTGAAAAAGGAAACCTCCAGAAAGGCCCCAACAAATGACACCCAGGGATCACAGTTATGCTGTAATAATTCAGATTTTGTGCAGACGATGGAGAAGGGAAATGTAAGATGAGATACTAAAATCTTGACATTCACAACTAACTGTTCTAAAAAGGATGGATATTGCACAAAATCTTCAAGATGCAAATCCAGGTCAGTAACACTTGCCAATTGGAGATGCATTTGAGCTATATTCCAACATTAAATACCCCTGCTTAAAAATCTTGCTAAACAACTTGGACCTCAGCTTTACAGCTGGCCAGTAGGTATCTTGGGTCCAACCAGTAATCTTGATGTCGATACACCTGAAGTTTACACCAGGATTTGGACTTTGAAAGCTTTGGCTTTCTACAAAGTTCTCCTTTCTCTAAATCCTATGATATCCAAATGATCCTTTGAACTATTAAGAGCTTTGACCACTCCTAAAACACAGAGGTCATTTTTGGCAAATGATAATGGGGAAGGAGAGAAAGAGGAAAAATTGCATTCCTTGAAAAATGAAGCAGCTAATCAACATCAGAACCAGTGTTCAAATGGCTTTTTGTGTGGCTAGTGAGCTTTCCCTGGCTCTCCCTAAATGCAAACAGTAGGAAGGGATAGGAGATGGCCTGAACAAAGAATGAACTTCTTGCAGAGAGTGAAACATATGTACATGCCTTCATCAGAAAACTTCTCTGCAGGTCTGAGACTGAGTTAACCAGCCACAAAAAAACATGTATACACATTTTGGAAGGCAAACAGCTTCCAGACATCTTTTAAAGGAATCCACAAGTAGTACAAAGTAGACATAAACACTCCATATAGTGATATCTTTACATAGCGTCCTCATGGATACTATATATTCAGGAAGACATTGCTCATATAGGTGATGCTATGCCATATTCCAGAGAGTAGAAGGCAAGCCCTTTAAAACACCGAAAGGGGAGATGGACATGGCAAGCTCCAGTGTAGGATTGGGCCAAGAGCAAGCAGAAATGGCTAGATCTCTTTTCGCTCCTCTTGCGCTACTAAGCTGTATAGTTTACAAAGCAGAGACATTCATAATTCTTTACAGTACAGTTTCTAGCATCATGTAGTAACTGCAGATTTACTGCACTTTTCTATGAAATTTCAACTGCCAGAACAAAGCTTTATGTTGCAGACAATCAGCAACTCAAATATTTAGGAATAATAGGAATAATAAAGACATTCCGCCCTCATCTCCCACTCCCACAGAGGGACTGACCTGTCTTTTTACAGGTAGTGGTTTGCTCAGCCCCACGCAGACTGCAGCAAGTTCTTTTTTCATATGTGGCAAGTATTTGACTAAGATTTTGCTTAAGGAAGGGACAAATCCCACTTCCTGAAGCATATTGCAGGGAGCAGCAAACATATTCCTCTGCCCATTGGACCAAATATATGATGCTAACACTGTGTGGATGCTCCAGAGCTGGCTCAGCTATTCCACTAACACATAATCGTATCTGTAATATACGCTACCCATCATTACTTTTAAAGCAACGGCTTGATTAATATTCAGCATTTAATGTTAGCACTAAAAACTTAGGAGTCTGAAGTGTTACACTGCAGGAACTGCAAATGCTGTTGCAGTGGCAATGGCCTGTATTAGTTCCATGAGATCTATTAGTTCAAGGGGAACTTCATCATTTAAAAATACCAAAATGTAGGTAAGGTGGTGACCAACAGTTGTAACCACTTGGGATAAAGATCATATGTCAGTTTTTAAGGAACTAAACATTACATTTTCAAATGGCCTATGATTATTTCTTCTCTGTATAAACTGCACCTCCATCACTTGGCAGTATAACTTCGCCATCTTAATTCACAATAACATTTTAATTGCGATGTTATAGATAAACAGTATACTAGAATTGGGAAGTACTTTGGCTTAAAGTGTTTTAAACATCTACTTCCCAAGTGCATAGGTTTTGTTTTAACCAACTTGCCCAAGAAAATAAGGAAAAAATATCATAGCATTTTTAACTGTCTGGGTTTTGTTCCCTTTTCTCAATTGAAATGTTCATGCTTTTCTGTGGACAGCTTTATCAGACTATTCTGCCTTTTTCCTTCTAATAGCTTAATGGTAACTCATTTTTCACCCCTGCTTCAGTCTTACATGGAACAGATCAAGCAATTCCCATCAGAGTTACAGTCTGAAATTCAGGAACTCTTAGTAGACAACAGACTCTTCCTTAGTGGAGAATGAGGATTCAAAGGAAACATCTGATATTATTTTTACTTTCATTATTTTTGTTAAAAAAAGTTTGCACCTTGATGTGTCATGAATACCCCTTCTTGATCTTCCTTTGCCTTCTCAGACCTGGCCAGCACAAGCAGCTGAGATCTTTGCTCTATTTTCCCTGCATCTCTGTGCAACGCTTTTTAAAAAGAGATTTTTTTTTTCCTAAGCCTTTCAGACTGCTGTCACATGATCAGGATTCTCCTGAATTTCTATGCATTCAATCTCTTCTCGTTCCTTCCTTTTGGCCCGTTTCTTTTTCTTGTGGTGCTTTTTGGAAGGTGGGAAAAAGGTTAGAAAGACGGGCAAAATAACAAAACAGTGCAGAAGTGTGCAACTGCCAGCAAGCAGCAAGCATTTGAACAGTGTGAAGGTCAAGTTTGAAGGCACAAAGAGAAGGGGGACCAACCCAATAAGAAAAGAAGTAACATTTTGCGAAATGGCTGTCCCGTGCTCTTGGAGGGAGTTCTTTATACACTGAGTTCGGGTGTGCTCCGTAGCTAGTACAAATGTATAAAGCAGGGGTGCACAGTGATCTATGGCAAAATTCAAAGTGTAGATAAGGCACAATATAGAAATGCAATCCATGTCTACATTCCATAAGGTCATCAAGCCAAGGACACCCAGCTCTATTGAGGTGACACTGAGAATTAACCAGAAATTTCCCAGAGGATGGATAACCAGGAAAAAGGTCAGTATTAACACCAGCAGGATGCCAAAACCAGAAATCAGGACAGGCATAGTTACTGATAAACCATAGTGGTCCATGAAGACAAAGGTAGGATTGAACACAATGAACTTGATGCTCTGTATAAGAGAGAGGGGCCTTAACTTCTCCAGCAATTGCACTGCCTCCCTCTGTGTGTTTTCACTAGTCCTGGCCACCAGGTACAAACGAGAAGCAATTATATTGTTCTCATCTCCAGCCTTGGAGAAAATGATATCATTTTTGAAGTGCTGGAATTCTGGCTTTTTTAAAAAGGAGTTCTGGAGGATGCTGATAAAGTCACTTTTGTTGGCTGCTGTTATATTACCCACTCGAAGGTATTGGTAGTACTGTTCAATCCAGGATACTGTATTGAACCCCTGGATCAGTGTTCTTAGGTCTTCTTGCACAGTGCCATTCCAGTACTCAAGAGGTTCGTAAATGTAGAATCCTATCACTGGGCTATAGTTGCTGAAATACTTTTGCTGGATGACGGCATAGGAGACGCTTGGAGACTCACTGGCAAGAAGGTTGATAATGTTGGCTCCATCATTAATTTGTAAGCACCCCATAAAGGAAAAAGACGCATAGATGAGATATAATATCACCACAAATGGTTTGACATAGATATTGGTAATCCACTCATTATAATGTTCTCGGAGAAAATGCTGGATAAAGTGATGCTGGTACGGGTTGGTCTCATGATGAGAAGTGTGATGATGGCCATCATTCATCATAGTCTGGAACCACACAGGTTTCCGGTCCAGGTATTCTGCTGAAGGGATTTTACAGCAGAAGATGCTGTGATAACGGTTCTGCTCCAACTGGCCAGCAAAGACCAGGCAGGAGCCAAAGAAGGAGAAGATATAGAAGTAATTCAACAGAATAGAGACACACATATTCTGGCAAAAGACTTTTACAGCTTCGATGTTGGTGAAAGGGCTGGCACCCATGCCAAAGGCTATGAAGTACAAGGAGCTTGTCATTGTATAGGAGACCATGACATCTGAGTAGGCATCTGCTACTCTGTCCTTGAATGGCAAGTTCTCTCTTGTTCGACGCCATCCTGAAAGTAGTTCAAACACTCCTTTGGTTCCATGACCTGAAATGATAAAACAAAATATGTATATGCATATAGTGAGTGGCAGAGCATATTTTTCATCCTGCAGCAGTTAAAACAATTGTTATGATTTTCACACCAAATAGACAAAAGAAAAATGGTCACATACATCTGTCTAAATCTAGTTATCAGAATTCATGTGCAGGTGCTTAAATAAACAGCCTGATATTCTGAGATTCTCCATGTTCAGTATCCCTGTCCTAAATGATGAAATACACATCGAAAAGATACTCGCTGATTTTATTAACCGTTATATTTCCAAACGAACTGCCTATACAGGACAAAGCAAAATATTAAGTCTAGTTAAGTTTGGGGTTCATTCCTGAAATTCCTTGTGGCAGCCTACTGCATCTTTCAAGGTTTAAGGGATTCCTTTTGACACACTTGCTAATGCAAGAAGCAACATTTCTTCCAGAGCTTAAATAAATAGTGTTACCTGAGAAATGAGTAAATGCAAGCAAGAAATGGACACCTTGGTTCTTGGAAATGAACAAAGGAAAAAAAATACTGTTATTAAACATACATAAACATAACATCTTTTATAATTGTTCTCTGCTTGCTATGTTACGTTGGAAAGTCTCAGTTGCTCTCTGCAAGATTCCTGACTTGTTCCTACCTGACATGATAGTGATGATGACAAAGAATACAATATTTGCTACATCATTAATCCACATTAATTGTCTTGCAAGCTTATGCTTTCTCCATGATCTTGTCTCTTTGTCTCTGTCTCAGCTACGAAGGGCTCCTCCTGGAGAGGTGGAATTCACTCGCAGTGGGAGGATATTCGGAAAAGAGTTACAGGTAGTCAGTGCTCCAGGAAAGATTCCATCCTGAAATGTATTTTAGGGTTATGACCTTTTATGTTAAATTGAAGTCAGAATTCAGGAATTCTACAACCATTAAGTTTTGGGACAGAGCTGTAAAGTTAAAGCTAAGTTTACTTGAAGAGGTTTAACCAGTAAAGCATTGTACATATACACATATATACACACATTCATATATGTCACTTATAGTTAGATTATATATAATCTTTTAGTTCCCTCTATAGAACATGAATTTTGAGGAAAAACAAGAATTAGCGCTAAAAACACAGTCAAAAGTATTGGCTTTCTGTCTATCCAGGGCAACAGGTTTCTCCTGCAGGCCTTGCATCATATGTGCCAACCCTGAGGTGGTACTTTGGATATCCGGGTGTGTCAGACAGTACTAGATATGGGGTATCTGAATCATTCTCTGGATATCTTTATGTTTGCATGTGTGCGTCTGAAGCAGTCCTCATAGTCTCCCATCTTCATGGGAGGGGAATCATCAATGGATCTTCAATGGATGGGAAAACAAACAAACAAACACAACAAAAAAGAGCTTCTACAGATTTTAATCAAATGTAGGTCCCTGCTTTAGGAGTTAACCAACTCCAGGTTAACTGCCTCTTCATTGACTATCATGTGTGATTTTCTTGGTGGGGTGACTGTCACCCTCCCGCTCTGTCATCCTGAGCAGGATGCAGATTTCCTCTATGACAAAGGGTATACAGGAATACAGGCATGATAGCTCAGAAATGGAGGGAGGATCAGCCTGGTATCATACAGGCTCTTTTCACCATAAAGTCAAAATTTGCCTTGTTCTGAAAAACTACTTGATGAAATATTGATAATAACCTCAGCAGCCAGGTAGCTGCCAAAGTTCTCCTACCTTCTCTTATCACAGCCTTAAATTACAACACAGCTATTCTGTCTGGAGCTTTCTTAATGTTAGCCAAAATGCAAAAGTTGGCAGTCTTAACCTCAGGAAAGATAAACCCTCTAACTCCCACTCCTACCAATTTAGAATCAATTCTCAGTTTTCAATTCTCTGTTTTTTATGCTCTCATAACAGCAGTTTCATCTAAAACTCAGTGATATCAGTGGAAACACTCCTATTCTGTATTTTATGCTTTGGACCAAACCTTGATCAGAGCAACTGTAGAAACATCTCCTCCATCCCTGTATGTACATTTAGTCTGTGTCATAAGAGAATTGCATGCAGCAAAGCAGGGGGTAACATTCTTGTAACTAAGCCAAAAATACAATAGCAGGAGATTTGCAAATAATGAAGTGTGTCATAGTGAACAAAAAGTCTGTTGATTTAAAGACAAAAGTCTTTAAGTCTTTTAAGACAAAAGTCTTTTGATTTAAATTGTTTAGATTCGTACAGCTACTTATGTTGCCCAAACCAGACTCCTGACAGCAATTCTAGATGAGGAAAATTACAGCGTAAACTGTCAAGTTCTGTAAATGCTATCTGTTTTACTGCAAATCAGCATCCCTAGTGAAAGATAAACACAGAATGTTACAGAAATCTTGCAGTTAGCAAAAAATCTTTGTGGAAATGTTTCCATCTTATGAATCAGCATCTTGCTTTTCAGAGGGACCTTGGATTTCTTGGTAAGTTTGTGGTGAATCAGTTCATTTCCCAGGGCATGGCATCCTGGCACACTGTCACATTTGACAATCTAGCAGAAAAAAATGGCTGTTTATCTGCATAGATTTACAGAATCTGATGACTTGATACAGAATTATCTTATATTTAAAACAAGCATGTAAATAGCCTCCACTGTGTGGACCATGCTTGCTGGTCATCTGCAAAGACAATGCTGATCCACTATCCATGTCATGGAATTATTTAAGTTAATGGTATAGATGCTGTGTTTAATTTTGGAAACACTAGAGTGCAATGTTTTTCCTAAGATATCTGTTCTCATCCTCTTTCCCTCTACCAGTTGATTCTGGGTCATTCTTTTCCAGATGTTTCTGTTGAAGGTCCTGCTAGCCTCTGATTGTACCTCTTGAAATTTCTTAATATCCCATATATATGGCTGTAACACCTCTCCCTTTCACACTCAGTTCCCAATACTTCTTGTTCCTTCTCTTCCAAATGGGAACAGTTATTTAGGGTCTGCACAAGATTTTAAAATGTCTTTCTTCTGCAATCCCTTTTCTCCCTTCAACAACAAAACTGCAGACACACTGGATGCAGCCAAGGTTGCTCTATCTCTGCCTAGTTGACCTGACAAAGAATAGAGATAGTTTTTTAAGGTGCATTAGGGCACCCATAGAGTCGTTTTTCCCAGTTTATCATCTGAGATTTTGGCAGGCAGCAGTGAAATTCCTGCCAAAGTCAGCAGCTGCATTTGCAACATCATGTTTGGAGACACTGATGGACCTTCATGAATTTATCTAATTCCTTTTTGAATCCACATAATTGTGGGAACCTCTTGTTAAGAAAGAGAGGTAATAGTGAATCATAAAATCAAATAATAATAAAAAACTACAATAATTTGGAAATACCAAAAGAGTGGATCATTTTGAAGCTTTTAAATCAGAAAATCATCAGAGCAAGTCTTTTCACAAAAACTGTTCAAGTTATGATGAATAGGCACTTCCCAAAGAGGCATGAGGTGAAGAAATGCTCTAACAGCACTATCACCAATTTGTAGTAGTATTGACTTTTTCTCTGTTTATTATATAATCTCACTTATCTGTCAGTCTGTGAGGTTATGTTCACTCTTGCTTCTGTACCATAGCTTTATTCTTATCCAATTTTAAATTGTAGTGCATTAAGTTCTCAGCAATTTGTGCCTGAGTGCATTTAATCTTAAGGTAGGTATATGTTGATAGAATAGAACGGTTCTTCCTTCTGAAACTTGTATACAAAGACCACCTAAGAGTATCCACTAATGTGTATGCACTAAATTGTGTTACAACTGAAGATTAACATGATGTTATTAAACTATAGATTTTTTTTTCTAATGGAATGAGTAATATCTGATTCTGTGATCTTAAGAAATAAAGCATTGAAATTTGCAAACCTCTTTCAGGATGAAACCTGCAAGTGCTTTTCTTATTATTTCACAAATGTAAACTTTTTAACTATGCCCTGTTTCCAGAAAACTTCTGCTGTATGACACAAAAATGGGAACTAGGGAATGCTGTGCAGTATTTCCCTTGCTTCTGCTAGAAGATCTGGCACTGACATTTAATACAGAGATTTTAGGGATTTGAGAATGTTTTATAGAGGAAAGGGGCCTCATACCTTTTTATGGAAAGCAGTACAATTTTTTTTTAAATTTCAAAATGAGGAACATTTTCAACAGTACATTTAGTATTATGGCAAAAGTCTTATGTCAGTGGAGCCCTGCAGACTTGCTCTCTCAGGCATTGTCCTCTCCATTGCTCAGTGGGGACATCAGCTTTCCTTCATAAGAGAGATAAATGAAGCTCTGCTTCTCATTTTCAGATCACTAAGCACAGCTAGAAGGCACAAGAGCAACAAAGGGGTCCAGATCCTGTGAAATCTGACATTCTGCTTGTGCATACGTGTGTAAAGCTTCTATTTTTACCAGATAGATACCTATTTGATGAAACAGCTATTTTATCACTAAAAAATCTATACAGACTCCCCAAATCTTTCCTTAACTGTTTTCACTATGTCATCACTATGTTAACATGTTTTTTAGTCTTTCAGTCTTTCTTGTTTTTTCAGTTTCTGTTCTTTTCTCCAGATGAGCAGGTTCATTCACCTTCCCCACAAAGGAGAAAAAAGAAGTTTTTTGTCTGCATTAGATATTTTTCTGACATTTCCAATCATTCAGACACCAGAGCACCAGAATGAACCTGTGAAACTGTATTCCTTCAGCTTCACCACTAATATCACTGACAAAATTGGCAGGAGCATTAAGTGCACTGGGCAGTTTTAAGAGGTTCACAGAGTCCTTGACTCTGGGTCAAAACCGCCTGGTTTCCCTGATACTAACATGACATGAACAAAATATAGCAATTTTGAATTTCCCATACAAGCAACAACCTATGACTACTAAGGAAGAGAAAAGACGGGTGGTTTAAGTCCATTATTTGCAGAGAGTAAATAAAGAAGGCTGAGGGGAGATGGAAATATTTGCTACTTTTTCAATCTTCAAAACAAAAGATTAATTATAAGCACATATT